AGTGCCCCGAGAGCAGGAGACCCACACACGCAGGAGGGCTGGGTGCACACTGTTACCACACCTAGGGATGGCCGCTGTCTTCAACTCTTGCCTGGTGACCACCACCTTTGGACACCCGGCAGCCAGTCACCAGGCTGGAACCAAAGGAGGTGAGGGGACTGCAAAGCCAGGTGCTCTACCTGCGGCCCCCTCACAGGTGTGTTCCATGATGATATCCCAAGGAGGCCCTTGGAGAAAAAGATGAGGGATCCAAGTAGGGAAATAGCTTCCCCAAGTGCAAACCTCAGCAGAGACATAACAGACCTCTGTTGTCACAGAGACCAGGCCCTTCCCACACGACCTGAACTAAAGGACAGCTCAGGTGACCCAGGAGCCTCTAGAGCACCCTAAGCAACAGTGCTCCACGAGGGTTCTGGCGATGTTAGGAAAGAAAGCTCTGGGGGAAGGAGGGAGGATTTCTGCCCACTTAGTGAGAGAGGACACCAAAGACAGACAGAGGTCCCTGGGGGCGCGGTATGAATCTGAGTTGTGGGAGAATGAGGGGGGGGGTCGCTGACCTTTTTTCAAGGCCCTATGTAAAAGCCTCTCCTTCCACACAGCCCTCACAGTCCCTCTATGGCTCGCAGCGTCTGTCAGGGCCTGGACGCCTGCCCCGCTGAGATCAGCCTCATCCTGCCAGGACCCACGGCTGGGAGTGGGGAAGTGGTACTCCGCAGCAGGTGCTGAGTGGTGCAAATCAGACCTGCCATCACACACACCCTGTGCCCTCCTCTGTCGTCCACATCCTTCTCAGACCAGAGGCCTGGATTAAAGCTGGCAGTCTCTTCCAGGAAGTCTCCCCTGGCTCGCCCAGCCCAGACAGTTTCTTCTCGCCCACTCACCAACCTCACTTCCTGCTTGTGGCAGTCCGGGCTCTGCTGGGCTGGGCTTGTCTGAGACTCACCACGCTTGAGATGAACCACACAACCTCTCTGAGACAGCCCCACAGCCATCATGGCCCTTGTGTGCCGGCCTGTGGGACCACTGGTCCCCTCACAAGCAGAGTCCTGCACAGTGAGGAGAGCTGAGGAGAGAGAGACAACTATGAACAGCACCACTTGGGCTCCCAGTGGAGCCAAGGATGCTAGCACCCTTCCGGGGGCCAAGTCTTAGAGACCCCCCCAGAAACTAGCATGAGGTGTGGGGTGACTTAAATGCGAAGACTCTGGCATCAAAATGCATAGGCTCACATCACAGCCCTGCCACTCTTCCCCTGTGCATTATGGGCAAGTCGTTCACCTTACTGAATATCAGCGACATTACCCATAAAATGGGAACCACAGGAATTAGGTAAGAGAACACGTATCATGCACTGGGGACGGGGCCTGCTGGACAGAACAGTCTGGAAAACTGCTAACCGTCTATGAGAATATTAGCATCCACAGCACCAAGGCCTGAAGCCTGGAGAGACGGCATCAGCTCCTGGATAGGATGGGAAGATTCTGGCACTCCCAGCAGAGGGGATCCCCAGCAGAGGTGTAGGCTTTGAGCACAGCTTCTAAACCTGTGAGCAAGGCCAGCTGGGCAGGCGTGAAGCAGCTCAAAACAACGGACCTCTGCCCCAAACCCCACTACTTGCATTCTTTAGGGTTTGATGCCCTTCCTAGGATCTTTGTTTAAACAGCCAATTGCCCACCCCTGACAGTTCCGAAGGTTCCACTGGCCTGGAAGCACACGAGCTCCAGCGATTCTTTCCTTCAAGGAGAGGGGCAGCCCGGGGAGGAGGTTGGATACAGTGAAACCCCTACTGGGGGCCTCCATTGGACAGGGCTACCAGCCCCTCCACCCGCTTCCTGATTGGTTGACTCGGTAACAGATGGCCCTGCCAAGGCTGATCTGACCGGTCCCGAGATGGCAGGTGAGGGGGCGGCAGCTGCCAAATGAGAAAGTACCTGGCCCGCCTGGCAGCCACACCCAGCTTCAAATCCAGCTCTGCGGCACCAGCTTCAACTGGCCGGCCCCACCCAGGGAGCCATGTGGGTAACTCCCCGGCCTGCAGCTCCAGCACCCCACCACTCCACTCTGTCTGATGAAGAAGTGAAAAGGAGGGCACGGGGAGCCCCAGGGGCCTCCGAAATACTCCAGTGGTCAGAGAGGAGGGCCCCAAGCCCCAGAGCCCGGAGAACAGGGGCAGGAAAGAAGACTCCCCTTTCCCCAAGGCAGAACCCCTCTGTCCTCTCAAAACCTTTCATTGTGTTTATTTATCTAAGTGTCATGGTCACTCCTGCCCGCCAAGAGGCAGGGGACCACAAGTGGGCTGGGCAGGAAGTTGGGAGGGGAGGAGACTCTGGCCTCTGCTACAATCTGTCATCCCAATCAAGCTACATGATTTCTGACCACTGACTCCAAGTCACAGTTTTCATATACGTGATAAGGATGGAGGGGTTGTGTCTCGGATGTGGTGGGGTGACTGATGGGGGGCAGATATGCAAGGTCATGCCCAGCTAGGAGTAAAACTGAGGGGTACCAATTCATGAGTGAGGCCTAGGAGGGGGCACAAGATGTCGGTAGGAGGCAGGGGGCTCCTCTAGGTCCTGCCAAGGGGACTGCAGCAAGTGCTTAGGAATGGAGAGTGGAATGACGGCACCAGCAGCAGAAGTGGCCTTGGGAAGGAGCCACTGAGTGGGAGCGAAGCCAAAATGGACCACAACAGTGGTCAGGGGCTGAGGGGAAGAGGCTCAGCTCCCTGGGGAGGAGCCTCCCTCCAGGGCCCCCAGGGAATAGTAACAGCTACAGGGACACTGACCACAACTCTTCCTGTTTTCGGAGTGCCTGCTACATTCCGGGCTTCAGGCTGAGCACTCTCTGCCATCTTGAGCAACAGGGCCAAGAGGACAAGCAGGGAGAGAGGCCGGGGCCCTAGGCCTGTACTACCAAGAAGGGCAGAGACGGCAGGGAGCAGAAGCTAAGCAGAAAAATGCCACTCTCCTCATCCAGGCTGGAGCCACCATGCACAGTACTGGTATGATGTTTCAGAAGCGGTGCTAGCGCCATCTTGGAAGATGGTAAAGACCTGCCAGATGGTAGAGACTTCCAGACTCGCCCACTAGACCAGAGGGAGACTGGGGGCAAGACAAGAAAGGTGTTGGAGTGGGAGCCACATCTAATCCATGTCCTCCTAGGGCCAGCTCCTGAAGGTCCCAAGGCAGTAGCCCTAGCCACACTCACCCATAAAGCCTAAGGGGGTATAGCAGGGGAATTTGTTCTAGGCCTGTCCTAGTTCCCAGTCTAGAACAAAGAAAGCACTGAGGCCCTAGATTCAAGAGGAGGTGTTTTAGAAACTGATACAGTCAGAAGTTCCCCCAAGTCATTTGTCAGACACAGCGTCTGTGGAGAAGGGCCTAGGCCCAGGCCTGCTTAAAGCTGGTGCTGCCTGGGCCCAAGATCTCTGGCCTCCCACTCCATCCCTGCCTTGCTCACAGCATCTGGAACACCACAGGGGCTGGTCAGAGCTCAGCCCTGGTTCACAGGGCCAAAGCCTTGGTATTAAGAGGCTCTCTGGCTTCACTTGGCCCCTTGTCTATCTACCCAGACTGCCCCTTACCCCACTATAGGTGAGAGCGCTAAGATGGTGCTGAGCGAAGGGGTAGAGACTCCCCCCTGAGAAGAGCCATTTTCTCCTGAAGGACTCAGAGAAGGCCCCCCCAACCCCATTCCACTGCTGGGTTAGTAGGTGAAGAAGCTGTGCCTGAGATTCAGCCTCACCAGCCGAGCCCTGAGCCTCCTCCAGACACATCGTATCAGCCTCGTGCCCCTAGGAAAGACACAGGGAGTTGGACCCAGGTCCCTGCTCAGATACTTGCAGACACTGTGCCCAAATAAGTCCCGTAACCTCTCCAGGCCTGCATCAGGCCCTGTACCAATTACTCTACAGGCATCATCTCGTTCCAAGTTCACATCAACTCCTTATCTTTCCCCCTGAACAGAGGCAGAAACCTGATTTCCAGAGTCCAGGACCTAGTCCAAGGTCACGGAGCTGGCAAATGCAGGCCAGAGATTAGAGCCACGTCCACAGAACTCTGCACTCAAGCTCATAATTGCAATGTCTGTAAAATGAGATCCTTTGCTGTATTCTAACTTTCCTTGCCATGATCTATCCATCCAGGTGGCCACTGGCACAAATTGCAGTTGAGTGAAGTTCCCAGTAACAACAGATTCAAGGCATTCTGGGTATGGGGCAGGGTCCTGGACCCAGAACTAAATGACTTAAGCCAGAACTATGTGGCTAGATCAGCCACCCCCAGAACTCCCCGGATTCCACCTATATCAGTTGAGCTCTTGGCCTCCAGGGAGCCTATGGTGTGACACAGATACATGGTTGGCCCGCCCTCTGCCCAGGAACCAGGGTGAGCCAGGCTTGGAGCAGGACCTGCCCTTTTCGACATAGGGCCGGTGACTCAGCTGGAGCCCATCAGCAACCTCTTGCTCACAGGTGTGATGGACACCATCCTTGCCCACGAGCCAGCCCTGGGAGGCTCCCACCCAGCACTCCAGCCCAGGCAGTCAGGGGCCATGAGAGAAAGCAGCCCTACCCCAAGCCTCGGTGGGGACTCAGCCTCAGGTAGAGGGAAACTCAGATCCATTCCAGTCAAAAGAGCTTCTCATGGAAGGAACAACCAAGCTGAGCGAGAGCACCCCACCCCCCCTTTGGCAGGAACACATAGGCCCAGCCATAACCCGCGTCAGGAACCACTCCTTCCCTGTTTCCGGGTCCAGCAGACTCTACTCATACTGACTCCACCCCCTTGCTCTCTGGGAGAGAGAGCTTAGCTAGGCTAAGCCTTGTTTTCCCCATCTGTAAAGCAAGGAGTACCAGGAGCCTGACCTTACAGGGGAGTATAAGAATGAAAGGAGATACTGATCATAAGAAGCTTAGCAGGGGTCCTGGGTACACCTTGCACCCACAGGCCTCTGCTGTTGGGCCCTCTAGATCACCCACGGAGCAGTGAGGGGTCACTGACCTTCAGGGCACATTTCTGCCCAGTGCGCCTGTGGAAGCACTCCAGCACCTTGCCGTTCACACCCAGGCCCAGCACCTGCTTGGACAACTGGTAGTCATCGGTCACTGCATACTTCTTGGGCTCCCGCCGCCCCCCGAGGGCAGGAGCGCCGGCTGAGCCTGGTCCGCAGGGTGCACCTTGCGGGGGCACATTGCCCCCCTGCTCCTCTGCTGTCTCGCCATCCATGGCCCCCGCGGGGCGCTCAGAGTCGACCCCAGCCTGGCGCGTCCAGGGCCACCTGGGGGAGAAGGGAAAAATGAGTTCCGCTCAGACTCTTCCAATACACCGCTGCCCTGAGCCCCTGAGCCTGGCTGGGCTGCGGGCAGCAGACAGGGCCGGGAGTGGGAAGCGAACTGTCCGAGAGTACAGACGGGAGGCGGGGGGCGGTGGTTGCGCAGCCCGGCACTAGCGAGTCCTGCCCGACTCCTGTCAAGAGGGGAAGGAAGGGACTGGGCGCCGAGAGGCCGCGAGTTCTGGGAGCAGGAGGTGGAGGGAGCCCTATGAGGGCGTACCTGGCAAGAGCGTCCCTGACAGCAGGGTACCTGGCTGGCGCCGGCGAGGGACAGGGACCGGGGCCCCGGGAACCCGGGGCGGGAGCTCCTAGAGCCGAGTCTTGCCGGCGGCGCCCCACGTGACCGCTCCCCTTCCCCCACCCCCCACCCCCCACTCCCCATCCCCCGTGAGTCCTGGACTTGGGGCCGGGCTCGGTCAGCCTTAAAGGGCCAGGCGAGTCCTGGCAGGACCGCGCGGGGAGGGAGGCCCTAGCGGGCCCCGCCCGGGCACCCGGACAGGATAGGGGGCGTGGCTTCTCAAAGGGGGCGGAAACCTAGGCGCTCGGGACATCCGCTAGGGCGGTGTGAGCCCCGGAGTTTACCAGCGACCTAGGAAGTGACAGTGCAGGAAGTCTAGTTTCTCTCGGAGCCTCAGGAAGCCACTTGAGTCGGGCGTTTTCCCTGCACTCTGCAGACGGCCCTCCAGCAAGGCTTGTAAGGCTTGCGACTTCCTTAGTGGTGGCCCACCGCCGGCCTACCTAAAGTCTTAATTTTTGCCATCAGGCCAAGTGAAATGGCATTTCGTTGTGATTCGCCTTTTTCCAATTCCTGGGGGCTCTGGGTGTCTCTCACCTTCTGTGCATTCTCCTGCTCATTCCGTGGCTTATTTTTTTCCCTTGGGATACAGCATCCTTAGACCAGATATCCTAAATTCCCATTTTGTCAGATCCATTAACTTTTCATCTTATACTTTGGGCTTTTGGTGCCCTGTTTAAAAAGTCTCCTCCTGACACTCCGTATACTCTATATTAACGATGTGGTGTTCCCTTCCACTTTTAGGTCTCTATTCTGAGCCCATCTTAGACTATCTTAGGTATTTTGACCCAGTTTTCCCATCACAGGCTGTTAAACAACTCTTATTTCACAGATGAGGAAACTGAGGTCCCCGGAGAGGAAACAACTTGTATAGAGCCACAGGGGGTGTTGCTCTCTCCTGTGACAAATCTGCATTACTCCTGCACACCCGCCCACTCCTCAACCCTCAGGCTGAGGGACTGGAATGTGGTGGTTCACTTGGGACTGGGAAGGAGAGGCTTGGGTTAAGGTCCCTGCGCGGGCCTCTTCTGCCATCTACAGGCCACTTGTAGGACTGCAGGCGCTGAGGCCTCAGGCCCAACCGGTTCTCTGAGCACTTCTTTTTTTTTTTATTCTTATGTTAATCCCCATACATTACATCATTAGTTTAAATGAAGTGTTCCATGATTCATTGTTTGTGCATAACACCCAGTGCTCCATGCAGAATGTGCCCTCTCAATACCCATCACTAGGCTAACCCATCCTCCCACCCCCCCCCCTCTAGAACCCTCAGTTTGTTTTTCAGAGTCCATGGTCTCTCATGGTTCCTCTACCCCTCCGATTTCCCCTGCTTCATTCTTCCCCTCCCACTACCTTCTTCTTCTTCTTTTTTTTTCTTAACATATATTGCATTATTTGTTTCAGAGGTACAGATCTGAGATTCAACAGTCTTGCACAATTCACAGTGCTTACCAGAGCACATACCCTCCCCAGTGTCTATCACCCAGTCATCCCGTCCCTCCCACCCCACCCCCCACTCCAGCAACCCTGTTTGTTTCCTGCAATTAAGAATTCCTCATATCAGTGAGATCATATGATACATGTCTTTTCTCTGTTTGACTTATTTCACTCAACATAATACTCTCCAGTTCCATCCACGTCGTTGCAAATGGCAAGATCTCATTCCTTTTGATGGCTGCATAATATTCCATTGTATATATATCCCACATCTTCTTTATCCAGTCATCTGTCGATGGACATCTTGGTCTGAGCACTTCTTCTGGCTTTGGGATTGGGCCCAGATAGCCTCCCGCCCACCTCCCCATACGCCAACACACACACACACACACATGCACACACGCATGCACGCACGCATGTGGATGCATGTGGATTCCTGGGCTGCAGGTCCAAGGCTCTTCAGACCAGCACTCCCAGGAGAGCTGGTACTCCGTGTGTGCAGGCGTAGAGCCAGAGGAAAGGGCCCAGGGCTCTGCCCTGTCTCCTTGAGACAACCTTCAAGCTAGCAGGGTTTGGTGAAGCAGAGACCCTGATGATGGCCTCAACTGACTAAACCCTTCTTTCGGACCAGACACTGAGTGGATGTTCTACCGGGGCACTCCATGACCTCACTGGGACCAGAGGAGGCAGGGCTGTACCCACCCCACATAGCCTACAGGACAGACACGCCCTGAGAGATCAAGAACCTGCCTGAGATCAGTAGCTCTCATGGCAGGGTCTCCATCCCAACCCCCAAAGAACAACTCCAGGGCCCAGATCTCACCCTTGAATGATACCCTCCTCTCCTGTGCCTCCCTGCCCCCTTCCTACCTCCACTTGTACAAATATGCTCTTACACGTGTTCACAGATGCACACACATGCATAAGCGCAGATTTGCACATGTGCCCAGACACATGGGCTTGCACGTGCACCACACGCATACAGACATTTATGCCCAGCGGGACCCAGAACCTCAGTCCCAGAGCCCCACCTGAGAACCTGATCCAAGATCTCAGAGACTGTGATCTGGAAGCTTTCACAGCTTGGAGACTGGAGAAGGATCCTGCCTCTGGAGGTGACTGGTTTGGGCCAGGTGAAACCAAAGCTGAGCAAGATCTCATTCTGGACAAGCAGGGTCCCAGTCACAAGCAGAGTGCTGGGCAGCTGAGGGTGGGGGCTGGCTCCTTGTCCCAGCCAAATTATCTCAGTGTATGTTGTGGTTGTTATCTTATTTTCTAAAAATAGAATCAGATTACAATTGTTCTAAACATTTTATAACTATTTTTTTTAAGATTTTATTTACTTATTTGAGAGAGCGTGAGAGAGAGAGAAAGAGATCACGAGCAGGGGGGAGGAGTAGAGGGAGAAGGAGACTCCCCACTGAGCAGGGAGCTCGACGTGGGACTTGATCCCAGGACCTTGTGATCAAGACCTGAGCCGAAGGCAGACGCTTAACTGACTGAGCCACCCAGGCACCCCTATAATTATATTTTTAAACTGATCTCTTTTTAATTCAAATTTTAATTGCATAAGTAAAATTTGCCTGTTATAATAAATTCAACCATAGGGAAATATAAGAAGTAAGCAATGGCGATGCCTGTCCCTTTGCAGTCTCCACCACCAATGCCAATTCTTACACAAGCACACACATTTCCCATGTAGGTAGGTCCATCATAGACAGATGTTTTGCAACTGTTCATTCAACCCAAGAGACTCAGAATGCTGCTCATTTTCCAGCAACCACTTGCACACTGATGGGAGAATTCACTGTTTGGGATAGCTGGGCTAGGGCAGGGGTGGGTTCGTGGTGTCAGACTTTGCCGCACAGCCCTCCATGATAGCTGTTTGTCCAAGGGGCCGAGGGCTGAGGCCTTTGGAATAGCTTACAGTGACGAAGGGGTCCTGTGTGTGTGTGTGTGTGTGTGTGCGCTCTAGCATTGGGCAGGGCGGGGGGTGGGCAGTGTAGAGGACTGAATATAGCCCCTACACATACACACACACACATTACATGTGTAGACTATTCTTCCGGGAGAGGAAAGGCTGCAAATGATGAGACTAGAGAGACCAAATGAGCCAGACTTTGAGGAAGGCACTGCTGTGCATTATTGTGACTGACCCATCTTGTGACTGTTCCTGGTGGGGAGGAGCAGGGAGATCCTGCAGCAAGGCCAATCCCTGGAGTGTGGGGAGGCCTTATCCTGGAGAGAATAAGGAAATGTGTCGAGTGAAACCATGAGAGGAATTGCCACTGGGTGGCATCGTGGGCCCAGCACTCAGAGCAGGGATGGGTAGGGAGCAGCCAGAGCAGGAGAGGTGATAATGAGATGGCCAGAGGGACCCACAACACCTGGGGCAAAACAGGGGCACACCATAGACCATGCACACAGGTGAGGTGCGTTACTCTGTCAAATTCACCAAAGGTGTTTGGAGGGCAAAACCCTCGGGGCCATTTAGTTTAACACACAGAACTGCATAATCCCTGACATCCATAAGGGAACTTTCAAGGGGTCACCCACGGTGCTCTGACACTGACTGGCCTGGCGGCAGGGAAGCTTCACTGTGGACCTTAAAGCTGGATCTTGAAGGATGCCTAGGAGTTGTTAGGTCAAGGAACCTAGAGAGGAGGCAGGCGGTGGTGGGGGCTGGGGTCCAAGCACCAACTCATCACTTGCCAGCTGTGAGATCTAGGGTACATTCTCACTTCTCTGTCCCTCCATCTCCTCACCTGTAAAGAGGACACACTATGTAGTGGTTAGACAATGAAATGAGGCTGGAAATCACTGATAGTACATGGCACATCCAAAGTGTTCAGTGAAGGGAAGAGGTAGTCCTGGGATAGAGAGCTTGGGATTTGGCCCCATAGGGACCCAGCTTCAAATCTTAGTTCTGTTGCTTGGCAGCTATGAGGGCCCTTTGTCTTCACAGTAATGGGGCAGTAGACAGTTTCTACTGAAGAGACTGCACCCTACATAGGTGCTCCATGCTGGGGTCTCCCAGTGCCCCAGCCATCAAATGCATAATGAGGTCGCCACACCTGCCCCATCCCAAGATTGGGATGTGCCTTCTCTCCCAACTCTTTCAGAGAAAACATTCTCTCCTGGATCCTTTTAGCTGTGGTGGATCCTTGACCCCCGCGGACCTGTTCGGATCTGAGGCCCCCCTCTGCACCCCTCCCCTCCTCCCACGTCCTTCTCCAAACCCCACCCCATGCCACCGACTTCCCCACCACCCCACACAGAGTCCGGGGATCCAAATGCGGCCCACAGGGGGCGCTTGCTCACCGGACAGACCGCTTTGGGGGAGTCGCTAGCTGGGCGGACAGGCCCGTGACCCTGCCCTTGCGCTGCCACGAGTTCTGCAGAGACAAAGGGGACTGTCCCCAACGAAGCGGAATGCCCAAAAGTAGTCTGGGCTCGGGCGGGTACAACCCCTGCCCCTCCCTGGCCTCCTCCAACCGGGTCTTTCCCTACTGGTCTCCAGGTCACGTTCTACCCGGCTCGTTCTTCAGCTTACGATCCCAAAGCTGCAATTGGCCCGCCCCGGCCACTCGGCTCCGCCTCCTGAGCTGCGATTGGTCGGCGAGCGGGACCCCGCCCCA